GGCTTTCCAGGGTCCCTTAAATCTCCTAGTTCCGGAGAACAAACCAAGAGGCAGATGGGGAAGAGGATCCCTGCCTCGCCTTTACTGAGTTTACAGAGCTGGGAAGCGGGCTGTGGAGAGGGGGGGTGCAAGAGGAGAGAAGTGTTGGGATGGAGAATGAAGTTGTTGGTCAAGACAGGTGGGCTTGCGTTTGGAAAACGCTCTGGCGCGGTTTCAAAGCCCAGAGCAAAAAGCCACACACGGTGAAGTGGTCCCAGGACCCAACGCTCGCCTCTCCCTCCCGCCTCCCCCTCCCACAACACAGGGTCTCTCCTTGTTCTCTCTCTCTCTCTCTCTCTCTCTCTCTCTCTCTCTCTCTCTCTCTCTCTCTCTCTCTCTCTCTCTCTCTCTCTCTCTCCCTCTCAAATAAAATAAGAACCCACAATTAGTGGGAGGCTCCCAGACTGTCTTTTCTTCGCTGTGAAAGATCTGACCTTTAAAAACTGGGAGTGGGGGCTGGAGCCGGGAGCCGAACCCCAGCGTCCCGCAGCCGCTGTCATGGCGGCCACAGTTGTTTCTCCGGCGCTCCAAGCCGCCCGGCCCAGCGCCATTTTGAGCATCGTTCCTGTTTCCCCGCTCTCCCTGCGGCTCGCTACGCTACTCCTGCAAGCCAAATGCCTCCTACCATGCCCGGACCTCCCTTCCCTACAAAATTCCTAAGTCCCATTCCAGTCCTCAACGACCTGGAGCACCCCCAGCAGCACTGGGCGACGGCGCAGGCCTTGACCCAAGTTAGCAGAATTGCTGCCTGGCTTCTGCACCTGATGCCGGCAGGCTAGCAAGCCCAAGAATTCCTCCTTCAATTCCTTTAACCCTTTGAGCAGCCTGCAGGGCTCGAAGCTGGCCTTTGAGACATTTTCTAGCACCCGCTTCTGTCCCCCTCGAACGCTGGTTTTCCTCCCACCCCCACCTTTATTTCCAAGCAGGGACCCAGGGAACATCCGAGCAGGGCTGGAGGCCATCCGTTGGCACATGAGTGGGTGACCAAGCGTCCATAAACTCACACAACTCTTCCTGGTGCCGTGGACAGAGAAATAGCCACCAAGCAGGGCCCCTTTTGTACCACCCGGACTTTGTCAGCCTGGGAGACAGGACCATGCCTTCGCTAGGGTCGCCTGAGCCAGAGCCAAACCAACCTCAAGTGGGGCCTGGAAAAAGCAAAGACTGACCTTAGGGACGTGGCAAAAAGGGCTGGATGTCAACAAAAACACTCATTTTCGTATTATAAAGACATTTATTTACTCTATGAAAATAATGTACAATAAATACTTTACCCTTTCCTATTATTAAACAATTTTAATAAATAATCTACAATCTAAAACTTCAAAAAGAGGAAAATAGGTCCCTCTAGTTCTTTGTAAGAAAACCCTTTCCCACTAGAGTTTAATTATTCCTGAGATTTCGTTGGAAGGAGTTTTACCAAGTGGAATTTTTTGTGTGGTTTTAAAAAGTGAAAAGGAGTGAATTAAACGCTAGTTCGTTAATACTTGGATTTTAACAGGACACATACATGTGACTAGGAGTGGAGAAGGCCCGGTTTTTCCCCCCTAGCAGCCAAGGACGACCAGATGGAAAGGACCAAAGATCGAAAACAGTTAGGGAAATTGCAAGTCGATGGCACAGAGTGTGCTGGTGAAGAAGTCCAGCTCTTCTTCGGAAAAGGGCACAGGGCTATCGAGCGAGCCCTGCAGGCTGGGCGAAAGGCCTCCGGACATCTGGAGACAGGAGTCTGCAGCGAAGAAGTTGAGATCGGGCAGGAAAGGCGAATCCTGCCGTTCGGGGCAGGCGTCCTCCGGCAGGGGCTCGCTCTGCAGGCCTCGGGCTCTGAGCATTGTGCAGCCGGGGCTCGATGCGCCCATACTTTCCAGGGCAGTGGCAGGCTGCGCCGGCGGCGGTGCGCCCCGGGGTCCCTCCGCGGTCTCGGCGTGGAGGAAGCAGGCTTCCCGCAGCCGATGAGACGCGACGTCGCGGGGGCTGACCGTGGGCTTCTCGGCTGGCTCTCCCGCGTCGTCCGGGGCGCTCGGCCCGCCTGGCTCTCCATCGGGCGGCTCTCGATGCTGCGTCTGCCGCTTGTGTTTCATGCGTCGGTTCTGGAACCAGACTTTGACCTGCCTTTCGGTGAGGTCCAGCAAGGCGGCGATCTCAACGCGCCGCGGCCGGCACAGATACTTGTTGAAGTGGAATTCCTTTTCCAGCTCCAGCAGTTGCGTGTTGGTGTAGGCCGTGCGCAGTCTGCGGGAGCCGCTGCTGCCGCTGTCTGACAATCCGGGGCCATCTGGGGGGTGGGGGGGAAGCACCCCTGTGTTATCAGGTCTCAAGGCAGCCCCGGTTTTGCTGAGATCAGGAGCACCCCATCGGCTAAAAAGACTATCAGCAGTCCTACTCAGGCTCCCACCCCACCCCCACAGCGCTTCCCTCTGTGTCTTTGGTTTTTTTTTTTTTTTTTTTTTAAGCGCTCTTCCATGTAGGCAGACCTAGCCCGGGTCAACTCGGTGCCTTCAGAGCCACCCACGGGCCACGTAGGGGGCGGGGAACAATTTCTCTTAGCTCCCAGAACCTCTGAGCCTTCCCTCCACCAGTCCTCCTTATGGATCCCTCAATTCGGAACTTTCCAACTCAACCTGGGGAGAGGGATCACAAATTGTTCTTCACTCCTTTCCTTCCTAGCTTTTGAATTCCCTCTTCTCCCCTAGGTTTAGGGGAGCTAGAAGGATCGCATCTTTACCAGGCTCCAGGCACACTTCATTCCTCTACACAGAAAACGGGAAAACACTTGAATCGAATCGTTTTCTTCTAAGCACATTAAAAAAAAAAAAAGCAACCTCCCCACCCTCAATCGGCTTCCAAAATCTTCTGGGGTGGAGGCGGGGTGCTAGCAGTGGCTAGGCCTGAACTCCAGCGGGATACTCTGCTTCCCTAACCGCAGATCCGTCGACCTAGGGAACCCCACCAGGCTCCCCATCACCTCACATTCTCCCCTCTTTTCCAACTGCCCCTCACCCCGCCCCTACCACGCTAACCCACCTGATGGTGATCCGACCCCGGAGGCCCGGACCGAGGAGGCGGCTGGAGAAGGGGATGCGGCGGATTGGTTGGGTTTCTTGGCGGATTTCTTCTCTTTCATCCAGGGGAACTCGGGGGCTGGGGGGGCGACGGGGGGTGGCGGCGGTGGCCGCAGAGCAGGCCCATCTCCGGCTTGCTTTTGGCTCCCTGGTCTCTGAAGGGTGGAGGCGCCGAGCTGGAGGCTGGGGAAGGTTTGCTCCAGAGGAGGAGGAGGAGGAATTAATGTCGACTCCTTGATTGATGAAGTTTGAAATGTCTCCAAGACAGCGGGGAAGGAAGTCAGACACTCGGCGAGCGATGGCTGGCTGTTTATAAACCCAATCTCCCTCTCAAATTCAAAATTCATGGCTTTCAATGGTGGGGGAGGGGGCCCGCTGGGGGGGGCGTCAGGAGGGAGGATCAGAGGGACCCCCTCTCCCGCCCCCCCCCAGGTTTATGCAATGGAGCAATTTCGCGGGGGGAGGGGGATTTCGCTCTCTCTTTTTTTTTAAATTTAAGCCTTTATAATTGTATATTGCTGATAAATACAAGCGTATGGGGACTCTCTCTATTAAACCCAGGACTCCGACGAAATTGCAGGGAATTCATGGTCACGGGACTGGTCTCCGCCAATCGCTCGTCTGGGCCTGGTGGAAAACACAGGCATTATTTGCTTTAATTGATTCAAAAACTCCAGAGGACCACGACCTGGATACCATAAGGCTTTCTCCTCTACCTCCAGTCCTACATCAGTACCCCACACTCTCCCCAATGGCTCTCTTTTCCCAGAAAAGCCAGAAGAACCTCTTCCTTCCCTTCTGAGACTGTGTGGTGGTGGGAAACAACCCCACTTAAGGGAGAAATGGAGTCAGTTAATATGCTTTCTTTATGTGGCCGTCAATAGCCTCTTACCCCACCACCATCTCAACCCACAAAAGGAAAAAAAAAAAAGCTCACTTGGGAAGAAGTGGGAGCAGAAAGAGGCTTCCACGCCTTGGGGAAAGGTCAGTATTAAGGTAAAAATCAGAAAGGAGATGGATGAAGGACAGCACTAACCAGCAGCAGCATCCCACCCACCCACTGAAAGTTCACACTTCAGAAATGAAGGAGCTGGCACACAGCAGGAGACAGATGCCAGGAGCACCTTGGGGCATGGGCCTACTTTCCCAGCTATGTACCCTGGATTCTATCCTCTGCTCAGTATTTATAAGCAGTTTCTTATGTCCACTTGCCTTCCTGTTGGGGTCATCTATACTCACACTGTGACACCCCAAGCCTGACAGTAGGAGTGTCTAAGAAGTTTGAAGGTGACAGACAACCCTCAAGGTGTATCTATGCCTATATATGCAGGGGCACCAACGTAGCCATCCTTAACTTTCAAAGCTAAAGTCAATGCACAGTCTTCCTCTAGACAAAAGGATTTTCCCTCTATATTTTCTTTTGGGCTACTTTTTAAATCCCTGGCAAGGAAAAAAAATTTCTAAAGATGGTGGGGGAAGATAATGACCATAACTGAGATTATATTCTTCTTTTGGCCCCCAGAGAGGAAAAAATGTAATGTCTTCTATTGTGAGGAGCCTATGGTAGGCTCCACTTTAGAATACAGTAATTTACTAGAGGAAGGAGGAAAAAAAAAACCACCTCAGAGCCACAAGCAATTCGGTGGGCAACTAGGCCTCAAAGCTGAAAATGAGAAGTCGACCTAGGGGAAGATTTTTAAATAAGTGGGTCAGAGGGACCAAGAGGAGATGAGGCGATCAATCTTAGCCCCCTGACAGTTCCCTCCGATTGCATCAAAGAATTTGGCTCTTTGGGAAAGCAGAGGGAACAGTCTAAATTCCACATCCCTTAAAAAGGCCTGAGGGAGGGGGGAGCCAAAGAGAAAGGTGATTCTGGGAGATCTAGGAAACAGATGGGAAATGGGGACAGAGGGAAGGCGCTAACTTGGGTGGAAAGTTTGCCCCGAAGAACTCCCACGGCTCTGGCCTCCCCTCCCCCTCTTGGGCTCTCTGTCGCCTAGCCTAGAGGAGAAGCTGGTTAGCAGAGAAATGGCAACTCAGAGGAGCGCTGGAACTAGAAACTTTCTGTCAGTGTAACAACGTCCGCGTGGGTGGTGGTGAGTATGTAAAGAAAGAAAGAAAAGAAAAAGGCAGAGAAGTTTGCTGGGAAACGTGGGAAACGGGGGGGGGGGGCGGCGGGGGGGCGGACCTGGAGCTGGTGGCTGCTGGACAGAACGAGGCAGGCTCTTGGGAAACTGCTCTTAACTAGGCCAGCGGGCCAGAGAGGGTGGTGTGTGTCTCAGCTGAAACAAAACAGAACAAAACAAAACGATATATACATATATTTTCCTGGATGGTGGTTAGCAGAGGAGAAGCCAAATAGTAGCTGTCTGGAAGGGAGTTCTGTGCTGTGAGGCCTGGGAGAGGGCCTTCTTCCCGGCAGAAACCTTGGGCACCTCCACAAGTTTTGTAACAGGCACTCCAGCTGGCTGCAGTATCCGAGGAGGCTCTTCTAAGGCAACCAGAGTCCAGACTGTCCTGTAGGACATACAGCTTTCTAACCTTTGATGACATATTTTATGGCCAGATTAGTGAACAGTAGAAAACTTGGGTGTTAAAGGGGAGAACCCTCCCTTCCAGAGACATCCCTCCTGCACTGTCTGCTAACTAACTGTGCAGATTTATATCCATGGGTTTTTTTTTTAACGGCTTTAGATGAGTGCCTGGAATCTGGAAAACAGAAGGGTAGGTCCTATTTTTGTTTAGCGTTCCAGCTCCTAGCCACAATATATGAATATACCTAGCTAAATTCTCTCTTAACTGGTTCCTCTCCAGCTAGATAAATAAGCAATCCACCCTTCCCTCACAGCCAAACATGATCCTTCGAGTAGTCATAGCATTCAGAAATGTTATTAAGGGAGAGGAGGAGAAAAGGAAAGACAGACCCTTGAGCGTTATTTGATCCCAATCAAACTTTGCACACTCCTCTGCCTTTAATTTATAGCCTGACCCAATGCTAAATTGCTTGCTGCCCGGATGAGCCAAGTCCAGTTTTTTTTTTAAATCCTACTTGGTGGGGAGGGGGTGTATTACTCAGGTTGTTTTTTTATTGTTATTTATTGTTGCATAAAGACTGTGATTACTAACCTTGGACTGCCAGGATACAACATAAAAATGAAAATCAGCCCTCGCTTTAAGGCTGAGGCCTGGAACGATTCTTATCCATGCCGGGGGCGGGCGCGGGGGGACCACTACCACCAAATATATGCTCCTAATTAAGCAATGCGGGCTCGTCGCTTACAATTAGAATTATGTAACTCTTCAGCGGGCAGCCATCGCTTCTCTTTCAACGAATTAGCTCCATATTTCAGCCTCCCTGTCTCCTCGCTCTTATCGGATACTGGGATGCGGTGGTGACATTTCATCTTTGACAGACCCTCTCCATCCTCACTCCAATGTGATAAAACTTTTATGGAACCAGGACTAAGAAATGAAGTTTTCCCAAGCATCGTGGAAACAGAACCTTACGTTAGCCTGGGGACCATTTTATTTACACTTGGTTTCTACAGCTTCCCCTCACTCCCTTCTCTTCCCTGGCAGGAGAAATCTAACCAGTCTTCCTCTTCCTCTGCCCTGGGCTTCATTTAATGATTGAATTTCACTTGGGTTTGAAGGCTTGACCTGAGAAGTCTAGGCCTCGGTTTGTTATTGTTTTTTCCCCCAGATTAATCATTTTCCTTTGTTTTCATTTTAGACCCAATGATGGTTGGGCTTCAGGTCACGTGACAGCCTCATTGTAGCTCCGGAAGAGAACATGAAGTTTAGGTTGCCTGGAAGAAGCAGTAATAAGCTAGATTTGGGGTTAGCTTGATGTGAGCAGAGGGGTGCATGGAGGTGGTGGTCAAAGGGACAAAAGGGAACAACGACTAAGAGAAACAGACAGGCAGAGGCTGAACAAAATTAGCCCAGGATTCCCTTCCCTTCCCAACCCCTCCAAGCTCCTTACTTAAACCTTAGCCTAAGAACTTGGCAGAATGGTCCAGACCGGTACGAATGTCAAAAACTGAGTTGAAACCAGGAGGAAAATCAGGGGAGGGGACACAGGGGCCTGAGCAGTGGGCAAGGAGGCCGGGAAGTGTCACCAATGCCCTCCTGCTAGGGGACATTTGGCCTTTTTCTGCAACCTGAACTGGACCACCAGGACAAGATAAAATTGATAACAGAAAGTTTATTCAAGAATTGTTTTGACAGACAACTCTTTTAACTAAGAGAAAAAATAACTACAGAAGAACAAAGAAAGTTCCAAGAGAGAATTAACTTCTTATCTCTACAAATTCAGGACTATACAGTGACATTTAGGAGCTGAGTTCATGCCTTTTAGAACTAATTACAATTGCTCATAAGTACGAGTTTAACATAAATCTACAGCTCTTGTCTAGAATACAGTAAAAACTAAAATAGCTGGTTTTACATGACAGGAAACACAACATCCTTTATAACAAGTAAATACTAAAAAAGTACATTTTTTCCTTTTTTTGTCCCTCATATAAATACGTAATGTAGGGGATAAATAATACAAAAAAGAAAATATTTTAACAGGCTATAACCAATAAATATATATGAAAATGTTCACTAGAACACACGCTTTTTGAGCGAAGCTGGACTTCTGCAGGCCCAGACATCTCTCACAGTTGTTTTTTTTTTTTTAATATCCATTAAAATGTAAACTCCAAGTGCAACAAGAAAGTCCTGTCAGGAACTGGAGCAAGGGACACAGGCCCAGCTGCAGCACCTGCCTAGGACAGACAGTTTGTTCAAATATACCCTGTTTTCACGTTAAGTCAAGAGAATAACAGAAGAAAAAGGAAAGTGGAGAGCCTCCTGTGGAGAGTGGGATGGGGTGGGAGCTGAGAGGCTGTAGACTGGGCAAACCTCCAGTCCTGACAACTTGCCTGCCTTAGCCTCTTAACTTTTCCTTAAAAGAAAAAATATATTTATTTATTTATATTATAGGCAGCTCTGACTTTCAGGATATCTTACCATCCCTGAGCCCTCTGAAAATTGTAATCAATAGGGGTGGGGGTGTAGATATGAATGTCCTTAGAGCAGAAAACCATAGGGCTAGAAATGATGGCCACAGCAAGAAGCCTAACATAGATGGGGTGGGGGAGGGGGGAGTTGAAGCTTCAGGGAAATAGGAGAGAAACATACGTTGTGCCCTTAGATTTAAATCTGTTTTCTTATTTTTCATAAGGAGACTGAAAGGGAAAACAAAAAAAAAAATCAAGATTTGGGGGAATTACCCACAGAGATGCAAGGTAAGTCGATGATAACCAACCCATTAAGTTTTGAATGTGCTTCTCTGCCCTGCTTGCCTATCTTGGCTCCCTCTACCCGACTCCACTTCACCTCTCCAATCTGAAATTCCAACTTGGTAGTGCTGGAACCCTGGGACCCCTGGGATTGATGTGGTCCGTCTCCAACCTGCTGTGGATTCCTTTCCAAGGGTGTTGACAGGCAGATGGAACCAGGCAAGGAGGACTTAAAAGACAGCCCCTCGGGCCTGGGAGCCAGGAAGGTACCCCAGGCCTGTCCTGTTTCTGGAAGCCTGGCGACAACCCCAACACACACCTCTTTCAGGACTCCAAACCGCGCCCATCCCCCAGTTCCACCGTCTCCCTGGCCCTTAACCTCACCCCCCCTCCCAACCCGCCCCTCACATCACAGGTGTGTCAGTTTGGGCGCTTCTTGGATTCTACCCTGAGGCGGTGCGTGGTGAGAGGAGAGGTCTGTGTACGTGGGGTGAGGGTCACAGGGTCCGTGATGCTGGCTGGGGGCCATAGGGGCCGCTCCGTTGTAGTCCAGGTTCCCCGAGGGGTGGTGGGAAAGGTGATTGAGGCCGTAGAGGGAGGGGCCGGCAGGGGGCGGCAGCGGATCCGCGTAGCCACCCCCGCCCACGTACACCGGACTGCCCTGCATGGTGGGCGTCCCGTAGGCGCCCCCGTTGGCTTGGAGGACGTGGGGCTCATACTCCGGCGCCGCCGGGGTTGGGGGGTACTTCTGTGGGGCGCCGCAACCCTTGAGAGGGGGCTGGTAGTTGGAAGGCAGCGCGTAGGCATTCTGGTGGCCTTTGCCGAAGGCTGGTGGGGACGGGCTGTCGTAGCTGGGGGTCATGGAGTGTAAGGCGTTCATGAAGCCGGCCGTGGACTGCATGGGCTGCGGGGGGCTTCCGGCCGGAGAGGGACCCCCGGAGGACGAGGCCAGCCCCTTGGCCTTCTGGTCTTTCTTGTACTTCATGCGGCGGTTCTGGAACCAGATCTTGATCTGGCGCTCGCTGAGGTTCAGCAGATTGGCCATCTCGACGCGGCGCGGCCGGCACAAGTAGCGGTTGAAGTGGAATTCCTTCTCCAGCTCAACCAGCTGCGCGCTCGTGTACGCCGTCCGGGCCCGCTTGGACGCCGCCGACCCCGGGGGGCTCTTGTCCCCTCCCCCGCCGCCGCCCCCGCCGCCGCTGCCGCCGCTGCCACCACCGCCGCCGCCGCCGCTGCCGCCGCCGCCACCACCACAACCTTCTGCTGGACCCGAGGGGGGAGGGGTGGGAAGGGGAGAAAATGAAATAAAAGATAATTACTGAACACGCCGAAATTGAATGCATCGTTTCTTAATAAATCCAGGCCTGGACTCGGAGGCCCCGCTGCCCTCCCCTTCGCGTCCCCGCCTCCTCCTCCACACCAACCCCCCCACCTCCCGTCGCATTAGCGGACACTCTATAATAGTGGCATTTATTAAGAGACCTGTTCTCCTCTCACTGCCCCGGCTTATGAAAATTTGATCATGTCACACAGACAGAGCTGCGTGGCCATTTATTTAGGGCTAGGTTTTTGCGTGTGCGCGCACCCCTCCCCATATATCCAAATCCAAGTCTGAGATGATTCCTCCCTTCTGTCTGCTCTCTTTACAAGACAGGTGTGACTGGGAACACCTTGGGGGGACTGGACACTGGTGGGCAGGACCTGGAAGTGTGGCACGTAGAGGCTGCGGTGGCTGCAGGCCGGGACCTCAGGCTGCCTGAGTGATGCTGATTAATACCCACAGTAATCATACTTAATAATAATCTATCCTTGATGATTCTGTGCCTCCGGGCGGTGCGGCCTTGGGAAGGGCTGAGAGGCCAACCGACCCAACTCCTGGAAACTCTTGGAAGCCCAGGCGAAGGATGGTTGGAGGGACTGGGTGTTGGTCAGGTCAGAGGTCATCAGGTGGTGAGAGGTAACTAAAAAACACTAGGCAGCCACCTAGTATTGTTTCCAGGCCGCCTTGTGGGCGCCTAGGAGTCGGATGCTAGAATAACAGTGAGATTCCTGGGCTGGACAAAAGCTGACGGACTAGGAAGGCAGAGAGCTGGTACCTGTGCCGGGGGAGCTGTTTTTCAGCTTGGACGTTTGCCTCGACTCTTTCATCCAGGGGAATATCTGTTTGGTGAGGGTGGAGTTGGAGCCGGCACCGCACTTGGGGGGGCCGCTTTTGCTGGGCCCGCCCCCGTTATTGCTGTTGCTAGTGGTACTGGTAGGTGCGGAGCTGGGTGGGGGTGAGCCCGGAGGTGCGGGCAGGGGCTCTGGGGCCAGGCCTGGCCTCATGCAGCTGCCGTTGAGCTCCTTGCTCTTGGCATGTGGGGCGGCATTGCCCAGGGACTGCAGGGAACACGCTGAGCGCTGGTAGTCACCCTCCAGGTGCGTGGCGGCCTGAAAGGGGGGCTGGGGAGGCCCGTCGTAGCCGAAACCATTGCTGCCAGGGTACGAGGAGTAGCCTCCGAAGAGCGCAGCTGCGGTGTTGTCGTAGTAGGTGGCTTTCTGCATCGCTGGGCGAGGCCCGGGCAGTGGGTGGCAACTTGCAAGGGCCTGATACCCTCACGACCGGACATTGGCACCCCTGGGGGTCACGTGACACGCCGGACCCCCCTCCCCTTTCTGCCCCCCTCCTCCCGGGTCTGTTCCAAGCGGCTGACCTGCGGGGCGAGAGAAGAGACAGAGGGGGAGAAGAGGACCGGGCCTCGAATCCATCTTAGGAACTAAAAAGGGAACTGACATCAATAGTTTTTTTTTTCCTTCTCCCCTCGCCAGTATCTCTGCAGCAGACGCTGAGACCAAGTATCTAACCTGACATGGATGTTTCTCACTTCAACTTTAATTTTTAAGGGAAAAAGAAAGCACCGATTTTCATTTCCATTTTTTTTTTTTTTTTTTTTTTACAAAATCAAGACGGTACTCCTTCGGAGAACGCTTAGGAATAGAACACCACTGCTTCGTGGGCCATTGCCTCTCTCTGCCTCCCGCACTCACCCCTGGCCTCTCCTACAATTTCTCCTTACCGACCCCCCCCCCAACTCCCTAGAATGGGGCAATTCCAAGGAAAGGACACTATTAGACTCCAAAATAAAAGCATCCCGGAGGTTCTTCTTCCCGTAGTGAGGCCTCTCTACCTCAGATCTCTCGTCCTTCCATATCCTTCCACCTAAGCAAAGTCTAGCCGGGAAGGAACTTTCAGATCTCGGACCCAAGCTGGACTGAAAAGCAAGTTCATCTTGGGACCCTTCCCTCCAAGATCATAGCAGCCTCAGGCAGAAAATTCCTGAAGATTTTTAACCTCAGAGGCAGTGGAACCAGCTTCATCCATCTATGTCCCATCTGAAGGTACCATCACCTCCAGTCTTGGCTCAGGCAGGCCTGGAACCCAGCAGCCAGAGGCTCCTGTGGAGCCTCCAAATGGACCACGATTGTTTAGATTTCCCAGGCAAGGCCGGTTGGTGCTATGACCATTTGGTTTGTGTCTTCCCCCCATCCTTTCTATAACAGTCTGTTTTCTTTTATTTCTCAGGGGGGGAAAAAAAGAAAAGAAAAAGAAAAAAACTGTGCAGCTGCTGGAATCTCTTTTCTACTGAGATGGGGGAAATTATTCCGGACGATAAAGACTCACAAAACAAGTTGAACAGTATTCTCCTCTGGATTCAAAGGGGAGGCTGTTTACTGAGGTTCCCAACAGCAAAAAAGAAAAGAAAATTATGGTCACTATCTTAACATGGCCTTTTAAAAATGCACCAGAAAAATAAAGCTGGACCGTGTCAGGGGGTTTTGTATTTGTTTCAAGATTTCTGACGGTATCTCCTCTTTCTCTGTATCTTCTCCAGCCCTCTTATGGGGACTTCCCTAAAACCTCCAGACTGAACCTCTCTGTATCATGTACTTTGGGCAAAACTTAAAATATCATTCAGGCCAGCTGGTCAACTCAAAAGAAAACTTAGTAAAAATGAAAAGAAAAAAAAAAACACCAACCCTTCAGGTGGGGTGATTCCCTCCCACCTACAAACGCCGCCCTTATGACACGGATCTGTACTTAAAGGGGAGCTTACACATCCCTGAGTTCCAATTGGTTTCTGGGAAATTTTTGTTTCTGGAAATACACATGGGTCTGCAAAGCAGCAGGTCCTTCCAGGGAGGACTGGAGTTCAATTGACCAGGCTGACCCACCCCCTTTATTAGTATTAGCATTAGCCTCTGATGATTTAACCAAAATTAGCTTCGGAGCAGCCCTGGCTGAAAGGGAGAATTAATTAACCGACATCAGTTGAGTTTGTTATTAATAGATAGAGAAGAGAATGAAATAAAAACCTTGCAGGGGGGGTAGCTGGCTGGGCCCTGGCTTTATTTAGTCTAAATGATTGTTACAGCAATAATGATGATGGTGGTAATAATAATAATAACAACAACAACAAATAAAAACCCAGTAATTTGACTAGATGCCTGGGGCCGAAATTTCTGTCGCTCCCCCAGCAATAAGCCCGAAACCATCGCAGGACAGAGGCCAGGCGAGTGTGGGAAGCGAAGGAGCCAGAGACGGGATAGGAAAGAATGGAGACTCCTCTGGCGGTGAGACAAGGCCAGGAAGGTTTGTGGATTCGGAGAGCCTCCAGCTGCCGCTGCTGGCCGGCTGTCTGGCCGCTGCGGCGGCGGTGGCTGGCGAGGAGCAACCAGCCTCCTGCTCAGGCTCAAGGAGGCGAGGAGAAACCGATCGGGACGCCGAACTGGTTAGCTGCGGCAGGTTCCAAGCACACCGGCCGGGCCCGGGCCGAGCTCCGCGGCAGCAAGTTTGGCGCTGGAGGTAACCGAATTAAAAGGCGCCTTAGCAACTCTGCTCCGGGACTTTTCCTAACAGGGCTCCAGGCTGGAAGGCGCAGAGGCCTGGCTCAATGGGACAGTAAGGAACCCGAAGGTGTCACGGGGATCTGAAATCTGGGATCCAGAAGAGGGGGTGGGGAACAGCTCTACCTAACCAAACAAGTCTATTTCCCTTGCCTCCATGTTGGAAAAATTCAGGCTCCATAGGGCTTCTCGGAAGGGTGGGATGGAGACAGTGGCTCCGGGCTTCCCCTCAGGGTCTCGCTAGAGAATGGAGGCAAGCCCCCCCATCCAGAACCCCACCTTTCCAGGCACACTCCTGGGAGAGCCAGGAAGAGTAACAATAGCTGGAGAAACCCCAGGAGAGAGGATAGGCCACCTTCCAGGACTTAAAAAAATAATAATAACGAAAGGAAGAAAAAAATTAAAGGATAAGAAAAGGAAAGAGAAAGGTTTGGCTCTTCTTAGCAAACGGGGGAGAGGGGATTCAGCCCTGGGTCTGGCTGCTGGAAGAGAAGAGAGAGGAAAAGGAGAAAAGCGGAAAGGAAGAGAGAGGGAGGGGGGAGGGAGGGGGAGAGAGGGAGAGGGAGAGAGAGAGGGAGAGAGAGAGAGAGAGAGAGAGAGAGAGAGAGAGAGAGAGAGAGTCAGTCGCTGCGTGGAAGGAAGCTTAAAGCTTGTGAACTCTTCTTGAACCGAGATTGGAGTCATATGGGCCATAAATCATTGAGACATACTCTCCGCCATTCACAAACTGATAGCCTATTTCAGTCCAGCTTACCTTAGCCACCGACGAGGGGAGAACAGGCAGACATAATATATATTCACATCGAGCCCCAGCGCGAGCGGCAGGCGAGAAATCTCCCCTCCTTGAAGGCAAAGGAAAAAAAGACCACTGTTTAAAGCTGCGGCCCCCCCCAAAGCCACCCCGACTGGGGAGCCCGAGGGGCAGACCGGCCAGAGGAGCCGCCGCGCGGCGTCCGCTTCAATTCACTCGGCTTTAGAGAGGGGGGTGCGCAGGAGGGAGGGGTAGGGGAGCTGGGGGGAAAAATAGCAGACCGAAAGGTGCTGGGAGGCTCGGCTCGCCGAGAATCCAGCTCCGGGCTCCAGCTCGGCCAAGCCGCCACAGTGTGGTTGCCCTATAAGACTGGTACGCCCTACTCTCCGTAACAATGGCCTCTGCTTTTGCACAGGGAAAAAAAACACACACACACACACACACACGCTCGCCCCCCCACCTCTCCCCTTTAGCAAGCATAGATGCCTGATAAGGAGGGAAGGTGATCACAGTGCTAAGAGCTGGGGGGGGTGTGCCTCCCCCAAATAACAGTGCGAAGCAAAGAAAGTAGAAGGTGCTCTTGTTTTGTTTTGTTTTGTTTTTTAAACAGGAAAATTGTTTTACATCGAGATGGGGGAAGAAGAGAAGAGCAAAATGCAAAGAAAGCTAGTGGAGTTTACATAGTGCCCCCCCCCACTTATTCAGGCCCCACTATTGGACCATTATGCTAATTCGAGAAATGGCCTCTGGAGACCTAGCCAGAGGCTTGGCTGGGCCAGGGGTGCTGAGTATCCCTCCTGCCCACTCACAGGCGGCCCACCAAGCCACCAAGACTTTTTTTTTTTAAGTAGACACTCCTGGTGGCTGAGTCCCTAATCCCAGTCCCTGATCCTTCTCTCCTCCCCATGCCCCATCTCCCAGTTTCTAATGGGGGAGGGGGACAAGGCCAGACTTTACACACACACACACACACACACACACCCCTTTTGAGAACAGACAACTAGCGGTGAGTGATGATTAAAAACCCAGAACATCTTGCAGGGGGAGAGGGGTTGGAGGGAGGGTGACAGAAGGAAGGATCCCGTGGTTTAGCTGGAGCACCAGACAGCCGGTCAGAAGGGCTCTGAGAACTTCAATGAGTCGTTTCTGTTAAGATTCTCACCTCCAGACGGGCAGAAGGGGCTAAAGGGTGAAAAGGGTATTTGTACCCCGGAGAAGATGAGAACTCCAGAATGGCTTCATTTTGAATGTACTGGCGGACGGGATGGAGGATGATCATCAGTACTCAGAACCAATCTGTTTGTTTCTCCTCCTCCTCTACACCACCACCATGCTCTGCTCGGCAAGACTTAGGACTCTTGGCACAAGTGAAGGAGCTACAAAAGCTAAAAGTTTTCTTAGGGTGTGTTTGAACAGGGCAGGCAAAAGCAAGTAGGAGGCCTGTAGGAGGAAGACGGGAGCCAAGAATGTAGGTGTCTGCACATTTGGGCAGGGGGTGGGGAAAGAGCCATTGGCAGTAGAGGCAAGAAGACAAAAAGAGCCCAGGCCAATTTTACAGGCTGGAGTGCCTGCAGGCTGCCTAACTGCTGACTTAGGGAGATGACACAGAAGGCAGCCGGTGTCTCTTTTCTACCGGGATGGCTTGGAAACTGGTTCTCTCAACTTCATAAAGACAGATCCAGCTGGGAGCCTGTGCTTTCCTGATTAGGGCACTTGTTCTTTGCCTTCTCCCATCTGGATACACCAGGACAGGCATGGGACGGGGAACAAAGGTGAGAGATCTCCAGCTATTGCCTTCCCTCCGGAAAGGATGACAGGGTCTCACACTTGCAATAACTCTCTTGCCTTCCCCCCACCACCACCCCAAGGCTCTTCTTTAGGGGTAGTAAAGGGAATGGCCCTTGGCTTAGGGCCCCACTGTTTCTAAGCTCATCAAATCAGATCAAATGGGCTGGAGCAACTGGTTTTTCTGGGGCCCTGTTATACGGAAGGAACCTGTGGTCTTCCTATCCTTCAGCACCAGGAGTCACATGCACAGATGTGATACCTGGGATCCTACAGCCTCTCCAGAGCTGGAGCTAGAGGAAGGTGGGAGTGGAGAGGGTAAGTAGAGAAAGCGGGAGCCAATTTGCTGTGTTTATTAGTAGTATTAAGAAAAAAAATTAATGAAGTGTTGGGGCTCAAGCCAAGAGCCTCCTGAGGAACTGTTCTGCTATCCAACAACTGTGATATGAGATCTACAGGGTGAGACGCCAAAGAATTTGAGATCTGGCATGTCAGCAGCTCAGGCCAGGAAGACTTCCAGAGGCTTCAGGAAATTTCAATCACAGACCATCTCCTCTACTTCCCACAAATAAAGAGGGTTTTTTTTTTTAAATGTTCTTCAGACTCTTCAGCTCTTCTAAAAGCTACCACCACTGACTAGAGGTGGTTGTTGTGAAATTAAGAAGAAACCTGGTCACCTTTGGGACTGCACAGCTTTGCCTAAAGGGATAACAAAAGAGCCTACATGTCACCTAGCCACTGCTGTGGGGCACAACAGAGGCAGGGGTGGGGGGAGAAAATGGAAAAAACTTGGGGTAAGCAAAAGACTATCTTGTCCCAAGACTTCTTCACCCCTGGTGGTGCAAGAAGGAGGGGCATCCAGAGATGGGAGCAAAAAGGGGAGATCTAGGAGTGAGGAAAGGAGCAGGGGAAAAAATTCAGAGGATGTGCACCTCCGAATGTGGTAGAAGTTGAATCCAAGGTCTCATGATCAGTATTTGAGAGGCAATTAGATATTTGTTTAGTTTCTTGTCTTTCTCCTGCCCCCCCCCACCCCCAGGCCACAGGGAGCTGCCCGCCATGAAGCTGGGAGGTGACAGGGAACAGAGAAGTATGGCTTCCTCCAGAGGGTTTGTTCTGTTCAGAAAGGTGGTAGTGACCAAAGAGTCTTTGCAAATTGAGAAGACAAAGGCTGGGTGGGCAGTCGGAGTGAGGAGCTCGGGGCAGAGGACTTCCCAAGGATCTGAGGATAGTCTCTGTGGACTGAAAGAAGACAGAAGGATAGACTAGATACCATGATTTAGGGGTAGTTTGAAACGGGCAAGTGGGGAACAAATTTCCTCCTGGATTTAGAGAACTTGGTAACTTTGTGGGAAAGAGAGGGCAAGAAGAGGAAAAGCTCAAAGAATGAGCCAGCCAGCCAGTGTGAAACACTGGCAAACACAGATATGTGTTAAAACAAATGGGAGAGAGCACCCCCTTTCACGAGCATCCTTTTTGTCTTTGTAGAGACAGGGTGGTAGCTCTGCACTCTCTTCCACGACTTCTGCTTGGTACTCAGCATCGGGAGAGTAGGAGCCTTGTAAGCAACCTTGGAGTAGTTGACCACTGACTGCCCATCCTTGTGAACCTCAGTGCGATCATCCCTACCCACCCACCCCTAAAGAAAGTCAACAAAGAACAAACAAAAAATTAGCTCCATAAGGGCAAACAGAGCTGGCTCCTTTAAAACCAGCATCTGCACTCAGTCTTCTGGTGACCAGGGATTCCATTCTGAGCTCAAGCAGCAGAAAACTCCTCTGGCCTTACTGGAGCTGCGGCCGGCCCGAATTTAGCAAATTGCTTCTTGCTTTCCCTCGTCCAGGCTCCCTGTCCCATGCTCTTTTCTCGTGTGGTGGTTCAACTTTGTGAATACTTTAAAGTTCAAGCACATCTCCATGTCCTCTTAAATATGAATGATTTTAAAGCTTTAGGTTTGTAAACGGAGGAGCGTGTTATTAATGAAGATGGCTTTGTAAAATAGACATTTGTTTCCCTAGTCCCTGGCTCTCTAAAAATGCTTGAGTGGGAAGGAACAAAGAAACATGGGAAGGAGATCTGAGCGCTTTCCCCAAGGCGAGTGTAGACGCAGCTGATGATAGCTCCGAGGGGAGAGGGCGGGAGAAAGCCTGCCCCAATGAGAAAAGAAAAGAAAATCCAGGCTGTATCCCACCCCGCCTCAGACTAAGAGCGGGTAAGGAAGAACATCACATAAAGTCTCCTGGGTACCAGTGGAAGACCCCTAAAACTAATACTAATTGGACCACAATCAGCAGCAGGCAGGCTCTTTAGTCATGAAAGATCTGTTTCTGAATCAGGGACATGTAGAAGTTTAGCCCTGGGAAACCCCACCCCTGTCAGTGTGGAGACAAAGGTAGCCAGGATGGAGCAGCAGAGGGGAGAGGGGGGGAGAGACTGAATCCTGGGCAGCTGGGGGAGGATGCTGGGAGAAGGAGGGAGATAGTGGCTAGACTGGCTGGCTGAAGGACACAGTCCACTTCGAGTGGCCTGCAGGCAGGGTCTCTCCTGACTGATTGGATGTCTCTCTCCCAATGACCTCTGTTTAGCAGACAATAACTCACTGGATTAATGGCCAATCAGTGGAAGGCCTCCAAATATAAAACTCCAAAGTCAGAACGGGATAGGACGAGAGTCTAGGTCTGGGAGTCTTTTTATAACTTTCTCTCTCAAAATAGGTTTGGAGGACTGGACTATCTAACCAGAGTCTGGGATTTCTAAAAAAATGAAGTTACTTCGCTGTCTCCACTTCCTGCCTCAGAATCCCCAAGTCATACTTTTCCTAGGCATCCTAAAACTCTCCAAAACCCATCACCCTCCTTATATCCTTGATCCCAAAAGAAATTGCCCTTCACATAGCTGTGCATCTGGGAAGCCATTGCTTTCAAGTTTTGTGTCTCTGTAGTTGGAAGAAGAAGAAAAAGAAAATAGAATGAAACAAAGTAGGGACCTTCCATTTTGCTGGCCTCCATTCTAGTTACCGTGGAAGGACAGACAGTATGGTGCTATGGCACACTCCCAGATAAAGAAAGTCCAAAACATCCAGGGTCAAGGCTGAATCCCTGGGGAAGCTGCACCTGCTTTCACAGATTCTAAACTGTAATCCCACATTCTGGGTCTTGGGCTAAGATAAGAGGAACCTCAGATACTGGATTCCGGACAACTCCAGCCCTGGCTTAGCATCTAACAGAAAAAGACCCTTGTCTGATGAAGCTAAGGCCCGTCTCCCTTAAACCCTGCACGATTCCAGCTCACCCCAGCTAGCTAGAT